AACGGAAGCTTGTAATTATTTGTTGTTCGTACTTTTCAGTATTTTCTTCTCTGTCTATTATGTTATTGATTTGTACTCTGATGGAAATTCTTTGAAATGAACAGTTACTTATGTGATGTTTATAAAGTAGTATTATAGTTTTATTACACGCACAGTTGCTCTGTTATTGAATACAGTTGAATCACTTAAGAGTGTTATACTTTTATTCATCTTATGAAACTTCTTTTAATTTTCACATTCCAAAATAACTTGGAGCTTCTATTACTATGGAGCTTTTATTACACAAATTCTCTAAAATATCTGTCTGACAGGAACCACTTTTTAAAGAAGTTCCTAACATTTCTTTCCACAAAAACTCCACGAAAGCAGATATTTCCTCAAATGAAATGATTAAATAAACAATCAAGTTCAAAATTACTTTTGAAAACCGGGACGCTCCATGTATAAAATTACACGAATTCGTCTTCATCTCCTACCAAGGAAACGTACAGAGATAAATAAATAACAACGAGATTCTCTGCGGTTGTTAAAAAATGAAAGGACGTTTCCTCGTCGCTGCTGTTTTGGACGTTGTATTATTGGAAGGGCAGGTGGTCGGCATCCATTAACTCGCCAAGACCGTGGACGACCGGTTGTTTTCACGACGAGGGTTACACGGCGGCGTAAGAAGAAACGCCACCGTGAGATAGGATTTACGCGATCGTTAATAGGATCTCGTCTTAAGAGGGGCTTCGTTTAAACTTTAAACCCCCGCTTCATCTTCGTTCCTCCGTTGGTCGTTGCGCGTTCGATAGTAGGGCATAAACTGTGTCGATGGACGATACCGATCGCACCCCGGAGAGAAAGAGGTAGATCGGGTTCCCTCCGCGTCGAGGGTTAATCGAGGGCTAATCGTTTCGAAACCAGAACACGCGACACCATGTATACACCGGCACCCCTAGCCATCGTGACAGCCTAGAGGGGTCGTGGCAGATCGTTTGCATCCCCTTGGAAACGTAACGCTCGATTTCTATTACCGAACTGCCCGTTGAAATTCAATTTCCACGTGTCTTATTCGTACTCCCAGCTCTGGGAACTAATAGAATTAAATTCGAGAGGAAATAGCAAGCCTAAAGGTTCTCCAGAGATGGAGCATGGTTTTATTTGGTAGTATTGGAATTATTAAAGAGAATGGCAGAACACCGCTGTTAACATTGATGCGTTCTACTGAATCGTTTTCGATTCTATTTGATTGTAACATAAAGTTTTGAATCGTTTTGTATTCATCTCTTTTGTATTCATTACAGTATAAAGTGAATGATGATGAAAGTCTACATACTCGTGCGTGAAACTACCATATTTTCAAATGTTCAAAGAGGAGCATGGATGTCAAACATTTTATGACACTGTTCTTTGTTGGTAACAGTTATACAGATTTTGGCACAATGATAATGTTTCTTGCATTTGTTAAATCGAAAAGAGATCAGCAATTATCATAGGTATGTTGAAATGTATCTAAAGTGTTATCATTACAGTTGTTATCATTATAATTATGATCAGACTACATTTTACTCGTTTCCCCTGTGGCAATTGTACACAGATTCTGTTTTCACTTTATTCGTATGCTCTTCTAAATAGCAGAATCTTTATTCGTTTATTGAATCAATAATAATACGAAACATGTTGTTTCGAAGCAAGTTCTTTTTATACATCATTGCGAGTCTTTCAATGATATTTCCTTGAAAATTCTCAGCTGCGAATCTGTTAATAGAAACAAATTAATCGCTGTCGTGTGAAAAATGAAATTCTAATTAAAAGAAAATTAACGGTGAAACGAGGATGGGAGAACGAACAGAGAAATCGGAACAGTCTGTGGGAGTAGGGTAGGAGTGAAAAGGGGAATTCGGCCATGGCTTGGTGGACTGATTTCGTTATGGGGTGACTGACGTCACAGAGTGGAGGGGAGCTCTCTCGACCTCTACACCCTCTATGGCACGTTGTCGTTGCTTGTTCGTACGCGAAATCAGGTCGATCGTCACTATTGAACGGCACCACTTCCGGTCGAGCATCATCTCTGGCGTGGCCTTTGCTACCACGACGACGAGGCATAAAGTTTGTTAACGCATCGTCATCACGTAGAAATATCCGCTAGTTTCACGCAGAAACTGCCGTTTAAACTTTTCTTTATTTCTTATCGTTCGATGCAACGCGAAGTTATAAATTTCATTGTGCAGATTTTCATCGAATTTTAAGAATTATTCGACTCTCAAGCATTTTATAAAAAGTTCGTAAATTTAGCGAGAAGCTTAAGCATGAAAATAAATTGACAATTTTCTTGATTTTTCTGTTTGAACATGTACAACAATTTAATGTCAGAAAAGTGGCTATTCTATTATCCAATTGAAATCCCATTATTTCATATTTTACGTAAATTTGTTGGAAGACAAATAGTTTGTATAATTGGAATTCATATAATGGAAATCTGCTGATTCTTCTAATGACTTTCGTACAACAGAAGTTCAGAGTCAAATAAATGAATTTAACCAGCAAGAGTTGATTTAATTGGATATTGGTTAAAATTTGACTCATACAAACAAAGTCCATATAAAGTTCTCCTATGCTCATGACGACTTTTACGTAGATGAAACAAATTTCTACGTAGCTTCAGCATCCATTGATGAAAATGTGAAATCGCATAGGAACCTGCGGTTTAGATTAAACTACGAAAGTTGCTCTGTTCTACGAAAGATTTTGTTCCGCGAAACGGGAGCTCGTTCTTGGATGAAGTGCACGCCGAAAACATACTGCTCGTAATCATCCGGTCTGTGGCGGCGTTTTTTTCGTCAGTTTGTTTCCTTTGTCCGACTGGCGTCGCGTTGTCGTCATTAACGATGCCTAACGAGCCTGACGAAGGCCCTGGAACAATATCCACGAAAGCAGAGTCGAGTGGGATATCTAAGCTAAAGAGAGCACGGCGGAGAGTGACGTCGAAGAAATTTCGAAAGGCGAAAACTAAGACGCAAAGGGTCAAATGGGAGGGTGCAATAGAGAAAATCGACAGTTGGCAAGATAGATCTGAGCGCGCGGAGCCTGCAGATAGATGGAAACTTCATAAAAAGCTTATATGAAAGAAGATGCAAGAGCTTTAAGAGAACTTTTTCCATTGAAAAATGAAGAAAAGCGTAAAAATTAAAAAATTGATGAAGAGCCGCGCGGCTCAAAGAAGGTCCACCAAGGAGAATGCGAAGAGGGATCAAGGAAATTCTGTTGAAGATCCAGGGAGACGACGAGACAGGAAATGGGCGAGAAAAGATGCCGGAAAAACGCGTAAATGAGACGGGGGATGGCAAGAAGAAGCTTTCTCCAGTCAGGAGTCCAAAGAGGACGTACACGACGATCGAACTTCCGCTAGAAATATTGACTTTGCCCGAGCGTTTCGCACACTGGTTCCCCATTTCAACCTGTAATTGGCCACGATTTTCTCCCGGTTTCGTCTGGCTCCCTGTTGCCGACAACTTCATTTTCATCCCTCTGACGTCCTTCTTTCGAGCAAATAGACTGAATTTATGCCAAGCGCGTCTCGCGTCTCTGTCTGATATCATCGAGCATCGTGACAAGTGCTTCAGAGAAGAACCAGGCATGAGACACTTGAGATTTCGTAGACGAAATGCATTCCGTTGAATACACGATGGTACATACGGTGTCAAATTAAAATAAAATGAACATCCGTTTTATTACTATCAAACTATCATTTACGACAAAAGTTAAGAAATGTAAAAAACAGTTTTTATATATATATATATATATATATATATATATATATATATATATGTATATATAAAATACTTAAGTTTTGGTATTTAAATCATTTATTTTACGTAATTCCCGAATTTTATTGGAATTCTGCGGAATCTTTATTAATCTTATTAAATTCTTAATGATGTTAAATTTCAAATATTTCATCATTAATTAATTCTTTTGCCGTAGTACGTGTGCAGAGAATTCAGGTTATATATTTGTACAAAAAGAAACATTTTTCCTGGAAAGAGTGACAAAGTTTTCCCTTGTGTCGAGCTCCTATCGACCCGCTTATCATCAGTTTCATGCTCCAAGTAGTTTCGTGTAGCTCGAATGTGCAATTATCCACGTATACCTCTACGTTAAAACACCGAGTTGTTCGAAAACACTGACTTTCCTTTTTTATCATTCTATGCAAATCGAAATAAAGTAACAAGCGAAACAGGAAAAAAAACTTTGCATTTTAATTTCAACACCTACAACTGGATATTGCACCCGAATACGTACACCGTCGCTCAAAAGCTTTGGGTCTTAGGCATTTTACTTTTAATAGTCAGTACTTGTCATAAATAACGACGTATTAAAATTGCGCATATTGTAATTGTTGTTCCATTTTTTTCAGTTTCGAAACGAATGCATTGACTAACAAAAATTTTCGGTCAAATTCATATCTACAGTAGAAAAATAAATAGTTAAATCTGCAAATTCTCTCACTGAATAATAAATAGACTACATTTCTGTATATTTATTCAGTCGAGTATAAGATATCGTAGTCTTGATTTCCTTTAATTTTGTCTAACGTTATAATCACTTGCTTTGGATTGATTGCAACTATAAATGCATATATGCACCTCCGAAAAGATAGTGCATTGAATGCACAATTGTAATATAATACAATGAAAATTTATCACTTGAAAACAAATATTATTTTGTTACCATAAATGCCAGAAATATGTACACGTTACGCGTTTATAAAATATAGAAAGTATATATATATTATATATTAAAATATCTACATGTTAAAAATAATATGACACTTCATAAGAGAAACGAGCCAAATTGATACAAAAGACGATAAAGGTTGATATTCGAACATTACCAGAATGGCTGATGTTTGCCCTAAGATTTTTGAACGTGGATGTACAGGACAATTTCTTATTAAAGCAACTAATTTAGCCCGGTGTACAATCTCGTTTAAAAATTCCATTTATTTCCTGTTTCAGAAACAAAGTATGATGGTTCGTCAACTGGAAGAGGAGCTGAGGATGCGGATGCGCGGGCCAAGCGTCGAGATGCAACAGCAAATGGAAGTTTTGTACAACGAGAACGAGCATCTGACGCGAGAGATCGCCATACTTCGCGACACGATTAAGGTAAGTGGTTTATTTACTTTTAGGAGAAGAAAACAGCGAACCACGAATTTCGCATTTCCCAACACACTGTAGGAAAGTGTTATCAATCCTTCTCGCTCCAGTTCTTTCGCTTATCGCGACGCTACCGACATAACAAAAATATCGGGACGTTTCTGTTTGGTGATAACATGCGAAACAAATGTAATTTTACAGTTTAATAAAATTTATTAACGAAATGAATGAGATGTTTAACGTAGCGATCGATTTCTTTCTTTCTTCATTATCTGCAATACGAGGTCGTTTCTATTTTGAATTCTACAAAGATCATCCCGTTATTCATTTTTGAAATTATTACCGCTGAAAAAATCTAACAATGGATTGATGATCAACAGAAGGATATCATAGAATTTTCAAAACAACTATTCTATTCTCCTTGATCAATATGTCCTATCTACCATTTCGAAACTGAAGAAAATTTCATCACGTCCATGAAATATTCGAAACAATGAAACAAATGTTTCACTTTCGCAAACTAATATTTTTACACGCGTTGTTTATACAATTGAAAATATCTGAACTGCTCTTTCATAAAATTAGTCGCGAGCACGTTCACCTATCGTCTGTTCATAGAAAATAATGAATTTTGAGGGAAGAATGGAGCATCGTTGGCTTTCGTTTAGACTGGAATTCGCCGGAAGAATGGCGTTCATTGGCGGAAGATCATTATAATCGCGAATAATAGGGACAGAAGGCGCGAAACGAGAGCAAAGGTAGAGGCCGCGCCGGGTCGCGAATTTCAAAACCTTCGGCCATCTTTCTTGTAGTACGACCTCGTTACTCTCGTTTCCGGTCCTCAATGAATAGTAGATACCTTGTAAAACCGAGTATTATTTACATCTCGCGCTTTGAAAATTTTTTTTTATACGGTAGAACGTCTCTTTCGTTTCTGACGTAACGAATCTTTTGAAACCTCAAATAAGATTTACTTCAGCTAAGCCTGTCGATAAGATAATAATAGATAATAAACGAAACACTAAGTGAGATTTTCCGTCATTGCTGACTTGAAGTTCACAGGACATTATTAACACGTGTTTGATTTCACTCTTTCAAGACGATGATGAATGCATCGCTGAAATATTGGGTTGAATTAGTATATTTATACTAATATCGGTGGTAGTTGTAATTCGTATTTGTATAAATTTTCGATGAATTTTTTCGAGTCCTTTGAGAGTCACAAAGATTTCACCACCATGGAATACAGTCGTAACTCTTCTGTTCCATAGTTCATTTTCATCACTTTCACTGAAGTATTCACTACTGAAAGAGTTAAATTGTCAAGGGTCGACATTATTATTAAAACAGCTATAAGAATAGGAATGACTGAGAATATAACGTTCAGCTCTTTTTTGAACTATTTACACTAGAAAGTGTACTAGTGCTTCGTTATATTTTGGAAAATGATCTTTCACCAGAAACAGAAATAATATCTGAACAATCATCAATATCTTTCGTTTTCATTTGCAAAGAGTTACTTTCACCTCCAATGTCTTTCGAAATTTATAAAATTCCTGTAGGAGCCGCAGAAATAAGCAACACGTGTAACCACTATCTCGCGTCAGAAATTCCAGTGAATGAAAATCTACGTTGTTTTTTTGTTTGGTCTCCTGGGGGAGGAGGATCTCTCTCGCAAATACTCCAAGATCTGCAGAGCAGAACTGTTGTTGTTAATCTCGATGCGATTTAATTTCACCGAGACGCGACGCGACACTCGTGTTCCACCGGAGTTTTATTGATCGAGCCACAGCGGGTTCGGAGAAACCGTTGGATCGCTTTCGGCGCCACTGGGTGGCAGAATTAACGAAGTTATTGCGGGTAGCTGATAGCCGGCGTTGCCAAGATTTCCGGAAGCATCGCGAACCGTTGGCAGACAATCGGTCGTTTACCTCGAACAACACCTAAACCCTCTTGTCTATTTCGGTTGTTCGCATGACGCTTCGGCGCTCGTCAAACCGCACCCGTTCGAGATTAGACGAACGGGCCGCGGCCTCTAAATCGCTTGTTTCCTGTCAAAACGTTGATTAAACCGAATCCCACGATTATCTTGTACACGATCGGTCGGTCTTCGTTCTCGCGGTACAGTAGAACTCTATTTATTCGCACCGAGTTGTTTTAGTCGATGTTTGACTAAATGAACTCTTGCTGGTCGAATCCACTCGAATTCGAACCTGAGTGGAGGGGAGAATCGGCGGACTCTAATTACACAAACTATTTATCACCCGATAGGTTTGTACAAGATGAAATTCTACCGTGCAAATTTGTCGCGTTAAAGCGAGATTGTTCGTTCAGCTCGAATAAATTCTGTTAGAAAGGCAGAAGTTTAACATTTAGGACAATGTTCGTTTGAATGTGCGATACGTCTTATCAGCGCAAGAACCTATCGATAAGCGATCGAGGCTATCGGAACCTCTCCATTAAAAAGTGACGAGTTTAACTTATGTGAACTGTTTCGGATATAAATTAATTTTGTTCGAATATTTTCATAATTAGTGCCAGTGGATTCTCGGTGATTTTTTGCACAAATATAGAATGGAAACAGCCCATCTGAATATTTTAGACTGTCAAACGGATGATAGAGTACTTTAAAATTGGATATTCTTTTGTTTTTCAATGATAATCACAGCGATGTGTTTAATTGGACAATTTTTGGTAAGCGAGTGATGCGATCGCTAAAGGAAATCCTATATAAATAATACAAATAACTTCAACGTGATCTGTATGTACATAAATAACATAATTATATGACTTTTGTGTGAGAATTATTATTAAATTTGTCAAAAAGCCTTTGATTCTAGTGCCTTTGACACTCGCCTCATTAGTCCATTTCCTCTAGCGACAAGATTTTCGTTAATGTACCACACTGCCTGACTAGAATTGTCCTTAATAAATATTACTAATAAAACTACAGCCAAGTTACTCCTTCTCGCGCAAAAAATTTCGCCAAGAAATCGGGAATAGATACTAAAATCGTGCGACAGTTCCAAACCTACGTGCGCGCAGTCCCGCGAGCGGGAATAAGATGAAGAATCGGCCAGTGAATCGACCAAGCGTCGATTGAAAATTCTGCCGAATGAGTTAGAACCCGGCCAAATGGTCGTGCAGACGGGTCAAACGTGCAACGCACTGGAAGCAACTGGTCGCCTTTGGCCAGTCGCCAAATTATGCAGCAGCTTTCTGGCTACGTCCTCTCGGGCCTTTATTATCGGATACGGGTCCATCGACATCATCCGTTGACTTCCGGTGTTGTTTTTTCGCGTGACGAGCCGCCATCGCGGCTCTCCCCCTTCCCTCGAGCCTGACGATCGATCGATAGATATCGTCTTCTAGACCAAACGCTATCAAACGTTTCCCATCCCCTGTCTCTTCTGCGCTTCTCTCTTTCTCTCTCTCTCTCTCTCTCTCTCTCTCTCTCTCTCTCTCTCTCTCTCTCGGCGAAATTGACAAAAAATGAGGATTACGTCGATACGAACGATACGTCGACGAGCGTTTTAGCACTTGAGCGTTTTCTTTCTTCCGAGGAAGAGCAAAGATAGAAGCAAGGCTGAGTGAGCGTTAGGTTACTTCGATTCACTTTATAGCTATCTTAACAATATTATCGGTACGTGCAATCATTGTTAATATTTCAACTCTTTGTGAAAATACTGTTTTCTCCTAGAATTCTTGAGTCATCTCTGATGTAACACTCTTTATAGTTGATAAAACGAAGCAATAATGGAGGAAATCATAGTACTTCAGAATAGCATGTATATATTCTTAATACGAAATATTTAAAACGAGAACATACAAATTATATTTAATTTACTGTCCTATTTAAATTACACATAAATTTAGATTATGAAAGAGAAATCGATTTTCTGTGTTCGTTATAAGAACACCCTACTATAATAAATGTTTTGTAAGATCTCTTCGAATATACACCAAAAAGAAATGAGCCAATTTATTTATTAGCCCAATATTTAAATGATTATGAAAACGATGAATAACAAATGATGAATTCTACGAATCTACGAGAAAGTTTACGCTTATTCGAAAATCCTCCGCACATTCCTTGATGTATTTCGAGCGTAGGCCACAGACCTACGTAGGCCAAACGTCTTCGTTTATTGAACTTAGACCGTTTAACATTGAACTGGGTGCATTTATTTTCAGCTGGGCTTCGAGATAGCTTTTCGTACAGCCGAAAGTCTATTTAGTCTGCGGCAGCTGGTTTTTGCTTTCGACAAATAATCACGCCGCTAAAAGTCCGATTGTTCGTCAAATATGGAAGCTGGAGTATTAACCCCGATAAAATTGTTGACGGTGTATTGTTTGATGATTTCTTTCACCGATTTTTATTATTTGTATTTCCAAAAGCTATTTAGAAGCTGTTTGAAAGAAAAGAAGTTTTGAACTGCACAAAACGCGAATTAAGTTTTCCCTAATAACTAGATTTCGAAATATAGATAATCAATATTTCCTAATATTTTAATTCTATCTAAAAAAACAACAATGCAAATAGATAACAAGCTTAGTAATAATAGAAGTTTATATTAAGAAAAATGAATTCAATAGTTTAGTCAAATGTTATAATGATATAAAATATAAATAATATAAAAATTTCCCTAAAACAGTTATCGTCAAAATTCAATACAAAAAAAAAACGAATCTAAATATCTCATCAGTTTTAACACTATTTTATTTCACACGCATAATTTGTTTATAGTTGGACAAGCACAAATTGATTCGAGTGACAGGAAGATTTTGTAGAAACATAGTTGTTCTTCTTCTGGAAAAATGTTTAATCCTTTTTGTTATTAACGTAAATGATCGAAAATGATCACGAGATCGTACAAAATAAACCGTATGAAACGAGAGCTAACTCGTCGTGCCCGGTTAAGAGATTAAGAACAAAGGAGGAAGCAGGCTCGAAAAAAATTCATATCTCATCGGTGATAAGACCTGGTCGACTACGTTTCTCGGTGGCGACGTTGACTAGGAAAGGAAGAGGGAAAGCCAACGAGTGTCTAATTCCGAGCTAATTACGTTCCTGCCGTCAAAGGGGCGGTCTAAATTCGTTATACGGGCGTCAAGCACCGCCACTATCTACCGACGACGTAACACAAATCGAGCATTTCACGGGATAAAACCTTCCATTCCCTTCTTCTTCACTCTATCCCTCACTTTAACGCTCAACAGAGAACAATCGTCTTTACGTGTTCCAATTACTATCTCGACGTCGTTGATTAAAGATCCGCGTGCATTAGTTCGCGAGTTTCGATTTTCGAGAAATTGAAGTCGTCTACGCGAGGCCACGTTCCACCGTTTGATAAGAAAAGTAAGGAACTCGATTGTCTCGTTAGACTGTGGATCTTTGTGGAAATCGACAGATGCACCGTTGATTATTCACTTTCACCCCGATCTAGAATTAGCCGAGAGAATGCTTGATAAATTTTCAAAGATGGATTCTCCTCGAGAAAGTAAGGTTTTTCAAATGATGGAAAAAAATTTCTGTTCAGGTTTCGTTTCTTTAGCCACGTTCGTACAATTTTAAAATGCGTGAAAATTATCTGGTAATTAAGATAAAAATGACCGGATCTTCGTAATCGTTGATCATCCGCCACGAATTTGATTTTACGCGAACGTCAAGACGAGAAGAATCAGTAGAGCGAATCCTCGCGAATAAGCTTGGGTTCTTCTCAATTACCCCGGCCAAATGTCAGTTAAAAATAGTAGCATTTGCGTGTTCAGAGGTCACCTAAAAACGAGATTTCATCGTTTACCTTTTTTCCATTACAGGAATTGGAATTGAGAATAGAAACGCAGAAGCAGACCCTGCAAGCACGAGATGAAAGCATTAAGAAGTTGCTCGAGATGCTTCAAAACAAGGGGATGGGTGAGGCATTCCATTCAAATTCTACTTTCCTACACAAGTCTACTTTCCTATAAACATAATCATTTTTATTAATTAACATCTCATTCGTGCAACAGTGGCATTCCAGGCAGTTTCTGAAAAGACAGAACTGAAGTGAGACAAGGAAAATTGACGTAAATCTTGTAGCTTATTAACTTCTTGTTTTATAATAGTAACAATAAGTCACTAAACTCTGGTTCAATAAACGCAAAACTCACTCGAGAATTGTTTCAATTTTAATTGTAACTTTGATTTCAATTTTTCAAACTGAAAATGATTACTTGCTTAAATTGTGTCTCAGTTTTTTGCAATCAAACGTTGTCAGTATATTCTGTACGTTAAAATAAGAAAAAGATGTTATATAAATATATACGTTGTTAAAAATACAATAAAACAAGCATACATTATTACAGATGTATAAATAAATTAAGAATACTTACGTACATTAAAAACTAATTATTTATTCACTAAATTAATATAAAATCAAACTAAATTTCAAAGAGTAATAAATTTAATTTTTGAATAGTATATATTTCTATTTCTATGCCTATATTTCTTTGAATAGTAATAGTAATAGTATGTTATATAAATATATATACGTTATTAAAAATACAATGAAACGAGCATATATTATTACAGATCAATGTATGAATAAATTAAGAATACTTACGTATATTAAAAACGAATTATTCATTCACTAAATTAATATAAAATCAAACTAAATTTCAAAGAGTAATAAATTTAATTTTTGAATAGTATATATTTCTATTTCTATGCCTATATTTCTTTGAATAGTAATAGTAATAGTATGTTATATAAATATATACGTTATTAAAAATACAATGAAACGAGCATACATTATTACAGATCAATGTATGAATAAATTAAGAATACTTACGTATATTAAAAACTAATTATTCATTCACTAAATTAATATAAAATCAAACTCAATTTCAAAGAGTAATAAATTTAATTTTTGAATAGTATATATTTCTATTTCTATGCCTATATTTCTTTGAATAGTAATATTATATATATAAATGGATACATAATAGTTGAAGTTATAGAAATATTACGATACCATTACGAATACTATTAGATGTATATTCGTACAGTTTATAGCAGTAACGCATGTTGGCACATATTTTATAATTTTTTAATAATTCGTTTTTTTTTATAGTTTTTTAATAACACTCCGAATGATGTATATATGTTTATATGACTTTCTTTTTTATTTAATATATTGACAACGTTTGATCAGAAAAAAAGTGTAATAATACCCTGTATAATATTTCAATATTTTTTTCTAAACATCGTGTTACAACAATGAGTAACTGGTTGGCCGCTGAAGAAATCCTAAGTCAAGGTTGTAATCGATATCATAAAATCATGAAGAGAGTATCATCGAGTGATATAAATGTCATCGAACCAATTCACTTCAATTCTGCAAGCATTCACCAAAGTATGTCATTTCTTTTAGTAAAAAGTATGCGAGTGTGTGACCATCGTGCATCGTATATTAACATTCTATCTAGCAGCGGGGAGACCTTTATTTTAATTAGCAGCGCTACGTGAATTCCTTCGATAATTGTGAAAAGATTCTTAAGAAGACGAAACAATCTTTCTCCGTTAGTATTGAAAACGCTGCATCGAAAGTGATCGACAATTAAGGAAAATTTCACGAAGCGTTTGCAAGCCGGGTGCAACTCGTGCATCGCCGGCAAGCACGATATATATCGTTGTCGCGTCGGTGAGTTGCGCGCCAATTTCAAACGCGCACACTCTCGCTACGCGCTCATTCTCCAATTCCGGGGAAAATATAACCTCGCGAGATTACGCCCCGCGAGACAGCTTCCACCTCCCTCAATAGCACGACAAACGTAAAGAGAGTGCACGTAGAACAGGAAACTCACAGATGAATGTTTTTCGCGTCAAATTTCGCGCGGTTATGCGTCGCCGTAATTCTCGCGGGCTAATAATCGCGAAATGCACGAAAGTTTGTCGTAGCCGCGGTAACTGCAACGTGAATACAATTTCCAACTGGACCGTGGAACTATCTTGTGCGAGAACGTAATACAGGCGAACGTTATTTCCGCAATGTGCGCCGTGCCGGACGCACGAAAATACCGTCAGCTTTCGTTGTGACCGAGATACGATTCGCTGGCCGACGATAGCAGCTCGTTACATCGTCGGCCGGCATCATGAGAGACGTTTTAAAATGTTCGATTTCGTTCAGACGATTTCGTTACAACTTCACAATTAGATATCATCCGATCACTGACCACAACTTTAACTAACGAGACGCTGAGATAAATGGCACTGATCCTTCGTGGTAGCATGTAACAGTGAAACCGCGGGTATTGCTCGAAACGAAAAGCTGCAACCACGGAAGAAGTGTTAAAAAAAAAGAAAAAAAAAAAAAAAAAAAAAAAAAAAA